CTACCTGCCACAAGGTCCCCATACGACCCTCCGCAGGTTTTGAATTCAGAGTTGTCCTTCTCTTAGACCAATTGCCATCCATGGCTATAGAAACCAGTCTGTCCTGCTATTTACCCATAGCTGGAGGGAGAAGAAGAGGATTCATACATTTCCCAAGAGTGTTAGCATGCAAGTTAATGTAATGGATTCTACTGGAATTCGAACTCCCTATGTATGGAAGTAGATTTAGAATTATCTATCCTTGTCTATTTTTATTAAATGGAAATTTGTCATCTATTATTATTACTAATGTTTGACTCGTATGTACTTTCCTTATCTATATTTAATATATAAAGCATTGGCAATCATCAATTCATATACTAATTATCAATGTATTTATTTATTTCCTGTCCCCTGTGTTGTGCGAAGGTAAGTATATCATCTTTAGTAAATTTATGACTGGTTACTTCCGTTAGTTGTTTTAATAATCTATACAATTAAAATATTTATCTGCATCAAGTCAAAATTATTTTCTGAGTTTATTATCTAATTAATAAGTTCCAAAATTATTTCCCAAGCAAAATTATTTAATTAATCAGTTCCTTTTCTCCTACGTTTCTTAGATTGCTGTCATATTTGTTCAAGCTTTTCATGTGAGGTACTCAGGTGCATTTCTATATATGAAGTGATCTCCTTCCTTCAATTTTAGTTTCAAATAGGCTTTCTCATAGCCGTCTTTGTCGTTCTGTTGCTAACCTTTTACCTCCGAGAGATATTTCCAATTCACTGTTATATTAAACACATAAAATTTTTAAAATGAAAAGATATTGAGCAAAAAGTGATTTATATAATACCAGGAGTAATCAGTAAATCCTAGATACCATTAAATGTCTAAAAAATATAAAGGGAATGGATTAATTAAATGGTTCATTGGCCTCTATTTTAGTTATGAATTCTTTACCTCCGCTTTATTGAATTTCAATATAGTGTTTCAAGATTTTTGTTTCAGTGCATTTCACTATTACAACTTTCTAATAATTGCCATCATTTTTACACCAAATTTAGACTAGTTATTATTAATAACTAACTAGTATTCACCTGCGTGACAGAACTACTTTCACCTCGGAACTAATTTCAACTCGGAACTAATTTCACCTCGGAAATAATTTCAACTCGGAACTAATTTCAACTCAGAATTAATTTCAACTCGGAAATAATTTCAACTCGGAACTAATTTCAACTCAGAACTAATTTCAACACGGAACTAATTTCAACTCGGAACTAATTTCAACTCGGAACTAATTTCAACTCGATTTAAAATCAAAGTTATCAATTTCCGTTAATCCCTGAACAAAATGCAATAAGTTGGTGTTATTTTTTTTTTTAATTTAGCATTAAAAATCCGTAGTAGATAAGATAATACAGAATTCATGTTTTCTGCAACTTTCATTAATTAGTTCCGAGTTGAAGTTAATTTGGCACCCCATTCAACTTCATCTCCATTTTATTATTAAGTGAATGATTATCAATCAATATTAATTTTAATTTTCAATGAGTATCGACTTACATATTTGTTTTGTTTGATGACTCATTGCCAATTCTTTTTTTTATTAATATTCACATTCAATTGAATTTATTATTCGACTAGCAGCATGGCGCGGCGTTGCCCGTGCTTGATTCAAAAATCGTACGACTCATACAGCAATCGCTATCACTTGATTTACAATATTTTTGCCCTTCCTTGCCTTTAAAAGAGTTCCTTTTGCCGTGCTGATGTTGCTACATGTCTTACTTCTTGCCTATCTCATACTGCGAATTTTTCTAAGCTCCATACTAAACATTAAATCTGTTACGAAAAAAGAACTAAACAAAATGAACACAAAATGATCAGCTTTAAAAAAAGACTCGAAACTGGAAAAACCGAATGAAAAAAGAATGTTAACAACAATTACTTCTTCACACCCAACCCAGTTCTGCGGAATCAGAATCAACGTTGAGTTTAAGCAAGCGAATGAGCCAATTGGAGTAAAGGGCCATGCGGATTTAAATTTTTCCCACTTGTGATGAATGCAGCTATCGATTTTTTTTTGCATGCTAGCATGCTTGTAAACATTCGTGTCAGTCAGCTGTTGGCTCTCACGATGGCCAATAGAATCTTCCTGCCTATTCGTAGCAGCCATCTATAGGCTCTCACTCTAATCAATAGAAAATGGCCGCAAACTACATGAAAACTACCGTAGAAGCATGAAAAAATCGATTATTTCCACTCTCGATGGCAGTTGGGAAATACAAAGTCGGTCTTGGCTTTCCCACTAACTTGGAGCATGTGCATGTAAATTTTGGTGCAAATCCGTCTAAAATTGCGGCCGTGCATTCGTTACACACACACACACACACACACACACACATCCTGCCTTTTATAAATAGAGATGAAGCATTGTCGATAATTACTATTAATTTCTCCTATGTACTTTCATGTTCATTTTTTATAATGTTAAACATTGACAACCATTATTAAGGTTTGTCTGATACTTTCATCTTGAAATTTAGTAGCTTTTTTTTATTATCAGAAATCGATGCTGCTACTATTACTTCTGTCAAATATGGCACTGCACAAGACCGTTGAAAAGCGTCAGATGTTAAATTTTAGATTTGATCTTCTGTACTGTTGATTAGTTAACAATTAAATCATCCGATATTTTCAACCCGGCATTCCTAAGCCAATTGCAAATTTATTTTGAGTCACACTGGAATCTTATACTTTATTTTCGTGCCATTAAAATCTGTTATAAAAAGCAAAACAAATAAGTTAAGAGAAAAAGTAAAATAAAAATAATGTCCTCTATACATATTAGCGGGATTAGACACAGGAAGATTCGGCGAAACAGTCTAAGGTACGTAGGCAGTGAACCCGAAATAATATTACTCTTTCCGGCTTAATAAATGTTCGGGTGGTCAATTCCGATTATTATTTTTTTAACGATTATATCCATTAATGTGCTGATACCGGTGCTTAAAACGAAATCAACGAACCGAGTCTTGGCTTTCGTGCAAATATATTTGAAAAAGAATGAGTTTTTCTCTCCTTCCGCAGTGTATAGGTTTAAAAATTGGGTATAATTGGTTCTCTAGCATTTGCTGGATAGTAGCTCAGATTGAAGAATCGGACAACTGAGTTCGATTCCCATTCGAATCCATTGCATTCACTTAAGTGACGGTACCCTTGGGAAAGGTATGAATCCTTTTCTTCTCCTCCCAGCTATGGGTAAGTAGCAGAACAGACCAGGTTCTATAGCCATGGATGGCAACTGGTCTACCGCAGAAAGAAATGGCAACCTACCACGGGAAAAAAAATCTGCTTCGTCAGACATGTATCGAAAGATACATGATCGCCTAAGCGTGTATCACGCATGACACAAAATAGAGGAACATTTGGTGGCAACCAGCCTAGAACATGGAAACCTCTGACTTCCAAACGGTGGAAAAAATAGGACGTAGATAAGAGCTTAAGTTCAAGGACAGAAATGCAGGACTCTATGCTTGGATCTAATTTTCATCAAAGACGTTACTGACGACTCCAGTTCTCAATTCGATATCTATCCTGATGAGACAAATAGTTAATCCTCTCTTAATTGTAATCTGATCGGTTGAATATGATCAAAGTGGCAGCTGAGCTAAAAATAAAAATGGTAGATGGCCAAAAGAAAAGGCTTGTTAAATTTAAAGCCTCCAAAACAAAACTGGAAGCTTTTAATCGTCGATTATCAGTATGACTGATGCTAACCTCCAGGAGAATAACTCTTTGTGCCTCGCCGGGCTAACGTTTCATTGTGCTTTTTGTATATGATCATGGTAGTTGTTCAGATGAGCTTTGCTCTTTCATAAGCAGATTTTTAATGAATTTAAACGTAGCACTAGATGGCAGCTACCTCTCATCATATTACGGTTGAAATGGCAAGATTTTACCTTAAGTTCTATGCAAACATTTTATTCTCTCGCACTTCTCACTGGATTCATCGCTTTCCAGTCAATTTTGATCTTCAAAAATTGAAATGCAGTGTCAGCCCTTATCTTCTGTCTACTTAATTCTTGTTATTTCATTGTTCTCTCTCTCTCTCTCTCTCTCTCTCTCACACACACACACATACTCTCTCTCTCTCTCTTACATGTTTTCATTTTGTCATATTTTCTTCTACAGAGTAAACCTAAATGGCGCGCATAAAATATATATTAATGAATATACATAATATTCCTCGTCAATAGCACGGCATGGAGTTTCATTACATACATACATACATACATACATACATACATACATATATTTATGTTTGTGTGTGTGTTCATATTCATATATATATATATATATATATATATATGTGTGTGTGTGTGTGTTCTTTCAAAAATATTCTATCGCTTTCGTGCGCATATATGGACGTGGTAACATCAACAAAACCCAGCCCGATCAAATCCTAACCGATGAAACACGTAACAAAAATTTTTATTGCAATTTGTCATATTATATATATATATATATATATATGTGTGTGTGTGTGTGTGTATGTATGTATGTATGTATGTATATGTATGTATGTGAACCGTGTTCAATGCATATTGTAAAATATAGACTAATAATAAATATTTTGTTCTTAGCGACCGCATAATACTAATTTTTATGCATGTGGATCTCTTCTGAATTATATATATATATATATATATATATATATATATATGAAGAAATATATTTTTAATGTATGCTATATTTATTGGTTAGAATGCTCAATATCAGAGATAAAATGTATGTAAATATAAAAGTGGACACTGAAGTCAATACTCAGAGGCGACAGACTGTTTCATGCTAAACGCAATCACCAGGCCACATACGGCGTTTAGCATGAAACAGTCTGTGATTACGTTTAGTGTTCACTTATATATATATATATAAACATTTGAACCCAAATGGAATTGGGCTCTCAGATTAACAATTCCGATAAATTATCCATTACACCACTCTCTCGTCCAAGCTTACAATGCCTTGTATCCCCAAGTGGTCACCCATCTAGGTACTGACCAAGCTCGATGTTACTTAACTTCTCTGATAGTACGGGAGCCGGTGTTTCAACGCGATTTGGCATAAACGATAGATAGATAGATAGATAGATAGATAGATAGATAGATAGATAGATAGATAGATAGATAGATAGATAGATAGATAGATAGATAGATAGATAGATAGATACCCCCCACCCACAAACTTCTATACTTAAATCTGTCCCTCTCGACTGAACACAGAAGGCGCCAAAGGTATCAAATTATTTCTTCCCTCTCCAGCCCCAACTTAAGTCTTCATATGAAACAACTTTTTCGTTATTAGAGCCCGCTAGCTATTTATTACGCATGGGAGAGCAATTTCATTTTTCCTCCCACCACTAAATGCAAGGTCCCAATCAAAAAAAAAAAATAAATAAATAAATAAATAAAGCTTTTCTACCCCAATCGCCAAAAAAGAAATTCTTATGTTTGGCCATTCGGTCAGATTTTCAGGAAGTATTTTTAGCATCCTAACGTAGTACCAGTAAGCTATGGCAGAGTTTATATTTGAAGAACGCATATGTGCGTAGATATGTGAAGACGGAGAGAGAGAGGAGAGGATAGAATGGAGGGTGGGTTAGTATTGATAATGTCTTTTGCGTGTGGAGATATCGACTTGGAGAATCGCGAATGTGTGTGTCTGTGTGCGTGTTTTTTTTTTTTTTAGAAGAAATAAACAGAAAGACGGAAACATCAGATATTTCTCGATTAAATTCGCGTAGCAGAACTTCTCTGCGGAATTCCTGGTCGTTGACCTTCCTAGACTTCTCCTTGGTTCTTCTCCATTTTCTGTTTCTTTGTTGGTAGGCGATCAATATTATTAAAACTCTCACCGCCATCACGATAACTACAAACCACAATGCTCTTCCTCCTTTTCTTCATCATCATAATCTTTCTTTTCCTTCTACACCGCTTTTTCTTCTCTTTTCCTTCTGGTTATCCCCTCCCACAATTACTTCGTTCTTAAACAAAAAAAACTAAAAACAAAAAAAAAAAACAACCAATATTAAAAGAGATTTAAAATGATGATGCTTTAGTCATGAGAAAAGTTTATATCATCTAAGAGATAAAGAGATTGAATATATCAGTTTTTACGCCCAACATCGCAAATTGCTACAAAACCAAAACATTAACCTGAAATTCGGGCCTTGTTCTGAAAAAAAAAAACACTCATGACTTTCGTTCCGATACCATGCATGGCGCCAAACTCGTTAAGAACTATCATCTGTATACAACCACTTTTTATCATCCTGGGTATGAGCATAAACTACATCCGTGTCCTGGGTAAGACGATAAACTACATCCGCGCCCTCAGTAAGACGATAAACTACGTCCAAGGAGGTTTCGAGATGCTGGGAACCACCTCTTAATTGCTTAATCTTCCCAGGTTCACCCTGACCCAGGGTGGTAGCACCTGTTAGGGTCCCAGTTATAGATAAATAGTTAACACACAAACTAGGGTCAAAACATTATGAAACTGTAAAAATGGGTTTTAATACCAATAATAATTTTTAGTAAAAATATTACTAGCAATACATCTTTGAAGAAAAATATATTACGAGCAATACATTCTTCAAGGAAAAAATATTATCAGCAATACATTTTTGAAGAAAAAATATTACCGGCAATAAAAATCTTGTTGGCATTAGATAACCTATTAAGGTTGATATGCTGTAAAACAAAACCAACCAAAACAACCCCTTTTTTAAAGGTGAATGAGTAAAAAAAATGTCCACGAGCAAGTGAGGCCTGAGTTCAATGGCAAAGATAATTATTCTTTGAACATTGTCGATTGGCGCTACAGTATCACAACAAAGAAATGTACCAAATGACAGAAACCACATCACTTGAAGACTACCAACAGAAGAAACAAATAAGATGGATAGCACATGCAACTTGAAGAGAAAATAATGACATTGTCAAGATGTTGATGTTTCACACCACTTCAAATAAAAATTTTGGAAGAAACTTTTATCGATCCTGGTAATAGCCTCAAGAGCTACAGTTTAACAATGCTCAATGGTTAAAAATGATTTCCAAAAAAATTAAACTTGTTTGTCGTAGACTGGCGATGCAGAATAAAAAAAAATCTGTACATAATAACGGAAGCCACGAAAGGTTTGAAATTTCAACAGTATTAAAAAGTAAAATAAACAGCACATGTAATATGAAGAGAAAAATTTGTCTATATTTCTGAGTTAAGGTATTATGTATACTATTTACATTATTCGGACTATTTTCCTCATCGTTGTCGCCATATTTATTACAACGTTTCGGCCCTTCAGTATCTGTCTATATTTCTGAGATAAGGTATTATGTATACTATTTACATTATTCGGACTATTTTCCTCATCGTTGTCGCCATATTTATTACAACGTTTCGGCCCTTCAGTATCTGTCTATATTTCTGAGATAAGGTATTATGTACACTATTTACATTATTCGGACAATTGTCCTCATCTTTGTCGACATATTTATTACAACGTTTCGGCCCTTCAGTATCTGTCTATATTTCTGAGATAAGGTATTATGTACACTATTTACATTATTCGGACTATTGTCCTCATCTTTGTCGACATATTTATTACAACGTTTCGGCCCTTCAGTATCTGTCTATATTTCTGAGATGAGGTATTATGTACACTATTTTCATTATTCGGACTATTTTCCTCATCGTTGTCGCCATATTTATTACAACGTTCCGGCCCTTCAGTATCTGTCTATATTTCTGAGATAACGTATTATGTATACTATTTACATTATTCGGACTATTTTCCTCATCGTTGTCGCCATATTTATTACAACGTTTCGGCCCTTCAGTATCTGTCTATATTTCTGAGATGAGGTATTATGTACACTATTTACATTATTCGGACTATTTTCCTCATCTTTGTCGCCATATTTATTACAACGTTTCGGCCCTTCAGTATCTGTCTATATTTCTGAGATGAGGTATTATGTACGCTATTTACATTATTCGGACTATTTTCCACATCTTTGTCGCCATATTTATTAAAACGTTTCGGCCCTTCAGTATCTGTGTATATTTCTGAGATGAGGTATTATGTACACTATTTACATTATTCGGACTATTGTCATCATCTTTGTCGCCATGTTTATCACAACGTATCCGCTGTTGTACGCTCCGGCCTTCTTCAGGTGGTTGGAACGTCCAACAAATTTTTTTTTGTTTTGTTTTTACCAGAGCTCATATATAAATGGTTCAGTTCGACATCCCAACCACCTGAAGAAGGCCGGAGCGTACAACGACCGAAACGTTGTGATAAACATGGCGACAAAGATGAGGACAATAGTCCGAATAATGTTAATAGTGAAGAGAAAATTATCACATAATTCGACATTACTTCAAATAAAAGTATCAGAAATATGACCTTATCAATACTGGAAAGGGCGATAAGAGTTACTGGACTTGATAAAGCTATCTTTCAAAAAAAATAGAAACATTTTGTAAATTTCAACAGATCATAGCACTATCTACTCGGATAATGAATGACGAATGTTTCATAATAAGGAATGGCTAATATTACCATTATCGCTGATTTAAGCTGAAATCCAACCTGGACATTCTTTGCTGTTTATAGCACTTTATATCTAAGGATAAATATGAAAGATTTGGCATATATTTTAAATAGTATACCAAGCATTTCTCCGCTATACAAATAAAAATGTCTTCAGACCAGATTTGCTCAACCTTTTACAACGAGATTATTCTAAGGACGATGTGGATCATAACAGGATTTACTATCGTTGAGCGCAATCTTGACAGCGTAAGATAAGTAGTTGGCATTCTGTTGAGGGTAGATGCAGAAGGAAAACTAAAAGACGTCCTTAGACAAGGTGTTAAATGAAACTTGTAAGAAAGAACGAACACTGAATTTCACGGATTGTTTCTTAGCAAGGAAAAAAGACCAAGGTTCGAACCATGAATTAGAAATGTCAAAACAAGACAAGTAAACAAGTTTAAATACATTTGGAAATGTTTTAATACACGATGGAGAATTTGCCACCGAAATGAAAACGTGCATTGGAACAGAAAAAGATGCCTTCGAAAAACTAAACAGAGTATTAAGAAAAGTGAAAAATTCATTACAAACAACGAAACAGTTATTGAAATGATATGTCAATATGAGTGATGTGGTTATTACGGCTTATCAACATTTTGCGAGTTATTTAAAACCAGGAAATATATTTAGATTCTAAGATTTATTTGGAGATAATAAAGATTTACTGACACAAGTACAACTATTTAACCCATAGCTGTAGGAGAAGAGTTGTATACATACCTTTACCAAGAACATTTGTGCGTAAATCTCCGAATTTCCAATACCAATACAACAACAGCACACGCAAACTTACATATTCTGGTATTTTGAAGCGGTCACTCATCTAGGTATGAACAGGCAAAACATTGCTTATCTTCGGTGATCTTTGGAAAACAGGTGTCTTAACGTGATGTGACCGTAAGTCTGAACTGATATGTAATAACAGTCGTCCTATATGACAGTGAATGATGGACAATTCTCATAGATGAAAAAAATATATAAGACAAAATAAATATATCCCTACAGATAGATTCTGAGAATATCGTGGTCAAAGCTATTGGCAACGAGGTAATGAGGAAAATAGCAAGATAGATATACAGAGAATCAGGCAGTTGACATTTCTGTGTCTCTTAATTAAACATATCGAAGGGGGAAGGTTAAACATTGACTAACCTGCCTTACGATGGAACAAAATGGCCAATGGAAAATATCGACTAACTAGCTTAATGAGTAAATGACTAGAGACAATATCAAGTAACCTGCCTAATGAGCAAATACAAAGGCGAAACATCGACTAACTTGCCTAGCTACTGAATAAAAAGAACAAGAGAATTCATCGACTAACCTGTCTCACGATGGAATAAAAGGAACAAAGAAAAACGCTGACTCAACTTCCTGAAGAAGGCACAAAAGAGACAAGGGAAATCATCGACTAACCTGCCGAAAGAGTTTGTGTAAATGGATACCAGAA